AGTTTCAACAGATTGTTAAACAATATGAGATATGACATCTGGAGAGAATAATAAGATATCATTAATGTAAATCAAGGCATTATCAAGAATGAAAGTAAATATATACTTTTTGGAATAGTGAATAAGCAACTTTTAATCCAAAAGGTGTAACTGTCCACTGAAAATAGTGTTGAGAAATACAAAAAACTGTTTTATATTTATCCTGTAGATGTATACTTAATTGTCAAAATCTTACTTTTAGGTCAAACTTGGAGAAGACTTTTGCATTTGCCAAATTTACAAACACAGTTTTTCTGTCTAGAAGAAAAACTTATCATCTGTAAGGAAAATGTTAAGAGACTTGTAATTAATCACTAATATTAATTTTTCACGAACTTGTTCTAAACGTTTGTTGACATAAAATGCTTTACATGTCCATAGAGAAGAGGTTGGTTCAATTAATGCTTGAGCTTGGAGAAGGAAACATTCTTAGGTTGCCAATTTGAAATGATCTGGGTTCATGCCTGAATGACTTGCTTTTATGGTATTGACATTTCATCTTTTTTGAGGGAAGGGTAATGAAAAATTTAGGATTTTTCCAAAAAGGTGGTCACATTTGTAGAGGAATTTTGAATGATTTTCTGTACAGGATAAGTGAATGAATTTCTATCTAAATTTTAAAAAACATCTTGTTGAACTGTGAGGGTAAAAAGAATGGAAAAGTTTTTTCAAGGTCTAAAATAACTTTCAAACTTTACATCTTTTTCACTAAGTCTTAAGCCTGATATACTGGTTATGAGATCAAAATCAATAACAAGGTATTTCTGAGGAAAGTGGAGATCCTAAAATCTTTTGAGTTATTTAACAACCTGAGAAAATTTGAATGGTAACATGGTTGCTTTTAAAGTTTGTAAAGAATACATTTTCATCAACGATCTTGAAAAATGTTTTTGTTTTGTCTAAAGATTTTTGGGTAAAACAAGGGGATTCACTATGGCTTGGGCTGCACTAATGTTAAAGAAAGTTGTGATTGTTATGGGAGATGAATGTTTGTGAGTGAGGATTTGAACTGGAGTTAAAGGCAATTTTAAAGGTTAGAGGGTTTGGATTTTTTTAAGTTCTTGGATTGACATGTACTCATAGCATTGATCATTTATGAATTCATATGAGTAATTTGATTTTTATTAAATTGCTTGATCATAAACAGGGATATTTCATTATGTTCATCATCAAAGGAGAAGATTAATTCTAAGTCATCATCAGAGAGATTGATACCAGAGATATTAGCAATATCTTGTATCATCTTGACTGATATTTTATCTAACTTTAGGTAATTCTTTGCAAAATGTCTTGATTTTTCATAGAGAAAATATTTTAAACTTTTGATCTTTAGATCTTTCTTTTTTCTTGCAAACTTGAATTTGTGAAATCTTTCGGGCTTGTTTGCTTTTCTGAAAAGTTTTTTGGATCTAGAGAAATGTGAGTTTCTGGGAAGTCTAAACTTTTTGAAATACTTTTTTTTCTCGTGATTCAGAGACATGTGGAAGTCTTTGAAAGAACATTTGATTTGGAGCCTTGAGGAGTAAGAACATGGTTTCTCTAGCCTCTTAGAGTTGTTCACCAAGGTTTTGATGTATCTGTACTCTTTGTAAATCTTGTCAAGAGCTTTCAACATCTTCTTGTAAATATCTCCAAAATTCATAGTTTTAACATCAAAAGATCTGAGATTCAACTGTGTTTTATTTACTATGCAAGTTTTCTAGAACAAAGTTGAGAAAAGCTTACTTCAAGTTGACATCATCAAATCCACTAAGTATATAAAAATACTAAGAGAATTGTTGATAGTGTCTGTCAAGGTCTTTGGATTGAAGGAACAACATTTTAGTTTGAAGAATTGTTTTATGATCTTTTTCAATCTGTGAGTTTCTTGGCTACAAAAGATTACTGCAAATTGAGATACAACTTCTGTGATGGTTGGGCATTGAAGAAATTGGAGTTGTCAGTATTCACCAATGTTGTCTTAAAAGTTTTTCAGAGTTTCAACTAATCTAAAAATAAATATGATTAAGATCGTGTTCATCATAACAGTGGGATTGGAGTTTATTTCAACTAATCCCCATGCTAAAAACTCTTAAAATCTCGAGGGCTATTTTGAAGGAGGAATATCATCGATAGTAAAGACTGAAAACTTTGATGTCGAAAGAGAAACTTATGATTGTTGTGGAGGAGGGTGTTGTTCAGTGTCTATTGCATCAGGGTTGTGAACTTCTGGATTATCAGCTGAAATTTCAACAGTTGATTCTATCATAAAGATCTGAGGTAACACTACCTCATCTGAATCATAAATATCATCTGACTTAATTATTTCATCTGATTTGGTAGTTTCCATATGAGATTCAATTTCAAAGATAAAAAGAAAAATATCTTCAAAGAAAAATTGAGGGAGATTGTCTTGTGACATTTGATGAAGTATTTCTGAAAAGGTTTATATATGAGAGATCATGAGTTGTGCAAGTTTTTGGTCTAGTTGAGGTGTAGGGTTTGGAGGTGTAGAACTTGAGCTTGGTTTTGGTTTTGGGGATTGAGGAAGTGGTTGTTCTACAACTCTTTTTGATTTTGGATCAACTGATTGTTTTTCTCAAAATCTGTGAATCTATTATTCAATTATTCCAAAGGGGGGTTATTCTGGTTGATTTGAGATAGGAGTAAAGTATTGTGTTGATTGTGAAGATGTTGGTACGAATGTTAGGGGAGGTTTATACTGAAATGGTGTAAATAAAAGTTTTGAGGGTGAGGTTGAAGGATTGTATAGTTGAAAAGGAGAAAGAGGGGTATAGGCTTAGTAAGGGGTGTCATGCATGCCAGTGTTGAGTAGAGTGAAGATATTGTAGCTAGAAGCTGCTTATTATTATTGTTATTTTTGACGAAGCTGATTCTGAAGATCTACAAGTTGAATCTTTAAGCTTTTCATTTTTTTCTCTATTTCAATGAAAACATAAGTGAATCTAGTGTTGGTTTCAATCATGCATCTGAGTTCTTGATCAAGAGTTATTATCCTTGATTGAATTTCAAGAATAATATTTTAGAGATTAATAAAGCTCTGATCAAAGTGATGACTGACTTGGTCTAACTTGTGTTTAATTCTATATAAGTATGCATTCTGCTAGAGAGAATTCTCAATCTGCTAGTTTAAAATTGCTTTAGCACAAAAAACACATTTTTAGTTCCCATATTCATTTCTATCAGTGAGATTTAGTATCTTTGAAATGTGTTTGTATTAGTCTTTGTAAAACTCTTGAAAAAAAGAAAATATGAATTTGGGTAGCTTGGTTGCATCTTGGATATTTGAGGTAAGGGTTAGGTAGAATCTGATTTTTGTGTGGTTTGGTTTGGGCAAATTTGGGTGGATTATTTTTTTTTCTAGGATAGATGACATAATAGTCAAATTTTCCTACGAGCTTTCCAAGAAGATCAACTTCAAGGTCTCCATTCTCATATCATTCTTTGAGTTTTTGTTAGGAAAACTTTTTCTTCTTTTGCTTATTTGGAATATCATTATCATCATCATCCAGTAAGCTTCTGTATACGTTTATCTTACATTCTTTGCATTGGCAATTTATGTCCTAATAACAATGTCTTTATGGAGATCTGTATGCATATACGGGATTCTTATTGGACTGAAAGTGTGTAACTAAAATATCAAAAGGATCAGCTTAACATCTTTGCATCATGAATTGTATTGAAAAGATTATTGAGAAGGAACATCATTTTCTTTACTATGATCAAACTCAATTGTGACAGTACCATTCTAATTTGTCTTGTAAGTTGGATCAAAATATTGAATTGGTTCATTTTGCTTTCAAATCTTTTGATAACTTGTCGTCCATGTCCTTGGGAAAAAGGTGGCAAGTTCTTCATTGAAGATCTACTTTGGAATGTGAACATGTTTAAGAGTCCTGCTGTTGCTTCTATTTTTACAAAAACGGCATTACTAAAGTTAGAAAGAGGCAAGTTAATGGCATGATCTTGAACTCTATATACCATCTGGTAGTGAAAGATTGCCTGGAGTCCTTTTATCTTTATGCCTACGATCTAGACTTGAACTTTTAAAGCATCTAACCGTGTTGGATTATGAAGAGACATGTTATAATTTGGAAAGACTGTAAAGAAGATAGTTCTTACATTAAGTGTCGTCTTGACTATGCCAAGGACTGTATGCTTGTATTTTTTTAATCTTGTGTCCAACAAGGGCATTCTGGTATATACATGAATACCATTTCTGTCGTAGAAGGTCAAGGCTATTCTGATAGCACCAAAATGGATGTAAGTGTATCCTTGTTCTGACCACTATTAAAAAAATTCTTCTAACATCTGAAGAGTAACAAAATGCTCTTAGGGTCCTACCGAAAGAATATATTGATCAAAGTTTGTGGCTTGAACATACTTTTTTGAAGTTGGGTATTTTAGTTGTAAAAGTGTTTTTAAAGATTTATTAAGAGAAATGAGGAGTTTGAGAAAATAGTATAAGGATTTACAAGGGGAAGAACTATTTGTTGGGTTTTCGTTTCTTTTGGGATATAATCTACTTCATATAAAAATTTTAACTTAGAAGAAAAAGACTTTTTAAGTACAAGAAAAAGGAAAGAAGACAAACTAAAACAAGATCTAAAAAAATGAAGGTTGAGAACTAAAATTACTAGTACTTGATAAATCCATAAAAGTAAGATTCTCTTTTGGCTTTTCCTATCCAACTTCAATAATCAAGAATTAGAAACATAATTTTTTGTCACTATTTTGGCAAGCTAGCTCTGATACCATTTCTAACATAATGGCAAGTAGTAATGCCAAAGCTCTAGGAACTGATGGCTTTAATTTCGGGCTCTCCGAGTGGTAGAGTCGTGACAATACTATTTGATACTATTTTCAATAACGTGCGTATCAATTAACCTATCAAGATAATACCAATCATAAACGTTCCGTAGATCAGACATGTAACTAAGATATTCTAGCTAGTGTTCAAAACTTTGACGCCATTTTGGCTTAATGTCGAATTGGTGGCTTGACTTTTATGGAGATGTGTCTTTCACTATAGTAACTTATTTTTAGTATGATCTCGGTTCAATATAACTTTTCTTTAGCTAAGAAAGTAGATCAATTGTATGTTTAACAGCTTAATAAGAATTTTTTATGCAAAAAATCTATAATATTATGGTAACTACAGAACATATTTAACTTGTATCGCTACAAATTATAGATAGCTTGACGAAACATGGAACTAAAACTTTAACTATGAAAGAAGCAAAAAAGAATTACCAAAAGAGAATGAGGTTTTTAGCCAAACATATTTTATAAAGAGAGATTTTTTACAAGACTTTTTAGGAAAACTAAAACTTGATCCTTCTAGGAGAAAAAACTTATAATTTATACATGAAAAAATAAATGAATAGTAACCTAATAAGACAAAGCATGATTATAATTTTACAAATGACTTTATATAAAGCTAAAGTGACTTTAATAAAGTAAAGATGACTCATCACTTATATGATATAAAGTAAACATAACTCATGACATAAAATAGATTTTGATTAAAGGTAAACTAGACATAAAGGTAACTTGACGTAAAGTAGACTAAAGGTGATGATGAATTGATAAGATGTCATCATGTGAAAATCTTAAAATATTATCACATGTAATTATATATAATTGAACTCGAACAAAAAATCTTATGGGAGCACCATGAAAAAACAATTAGCAGATTATGCAGCCAACTGGATCTTACTCAACAGTTTTACCGCAGGTGTAATATTCAGGCACTGGAGGATCATTGTTTGTGGACGTTGAAGGGTGATACGCCAACAGATGGGGGTGTTCTTTCGGGGGATCTTTCTCGGCTTCTGCTGGCTTTTTCGGCTCATCTTTCTTGATCTCCGGTATCTTTTTCTCTGGCTCTTTTGCTGGTCCAACCGTAACTATATCTGTGTGACACAGCTTCCTTAGTTCTATTACCACTACCACCGGATCAATGTCTCCTGTCACTGTCAATTTTTGGTCCTTGGCGTCAAACGAAACTGAATCAACCCCTGTAAAATTAATAAGTTAGATTTTGCTAACTTTAGGATCCACGTTTTTTTATGGTTGTTTTAATAACGTTTGGAAAATTCATTTCAATCCCCAAGTTTGTTACCACTAAACAGAGTCAAAACAGAAAACTACAACTCAATACAATACCTGAAAGGCCAGCGGCTGTCTGCATGGCTTTTTGTTTGCATTCGTTGTCGTGTAAATCCAATTTCAGCACAATTTTCTGTCAAAAATAAAATCATTGACTGTTAATATTTAGATCAAAGTAAGGCTCCGAACTCTAGCTAAAACCACTACGCAGGCTCAGAAAACTAAATCAGAGATCATGCTTTTATGTTTGGCTGTGCTGAAAAACAAAACAAAAGTAGAACAAGCGGCACAGATGAAAATCTAACCTTCATTTCAAGCTTTGAGAATACTTGTGTAACAAAATTGAGAATAGAAACAAGGGAAAATGAGATTGGTAACAAAGGGGAAAAGGGAGGAATACAATTGCAAGGAACTCTTTAACACCTTTGGCTTTGCTGGTAAGCTGAAGCATCAGAAATATATATTGAGCCAAGTCAACATAAGTCAAATGATGCATTTGGTCTTTGCCTCTTGGTCAATAAATGCAATGTCACGTTCGTGGAAGATACGCTAGAAGTATATACTACAAGCTACAAGCAGCCTTTTGGAAAGAGAGAGCTCCTTTCGTTTTCTTCTTCAAAGAAAAGGAGGAGAAAAGTAAAATCCACTTAAATTGTTTTTCGGGGAAATATCTCTAGTCCTTCCCGTTTTCTCGGTCACGTAGGAGACTTTACGCGCTGAAGTGTTTCTCTTCCTTCTCTTATTGCTCCAGTCTTTTCCCTTTTTTTTTCTTTTTTGGTTCTTTTTGCAATTTTCTATCCTTTTGTTTCGAAGTATAACCAAGCGTTGCAGAGGTAGGCTCGAGCCCCAGCCTCGAGGGCAGGGCAACCCTGCTAGAGGGTCCATGTGTTGAGAATATTGACTCAAATCTCATAAGAGATTTGTTTGAGATTTGTTTGAGATTTGTCAGATATTGCTTGATGGACAAGAAGACTTGCAAAAGAAGAATTTCAAGAGAAAGAAGATTTTTAATAGGTAAGTTTGACTTGCAAGAGAAGGATTCTAAAAAAAAAGAGGTTCTTAATAGGCAAGTTTGACTTACAGGAGAAGAATTCTAAGAGGAGAGGGATTCTTAATGGGCAAGTTTGTATGGTTATAAATAGTTGAAGTCTCTACAGGGTTAGGTATGAGAAAAAGATGTAAGAGAGTTGTAGGGTTTTGTGGGATAGACACCCTATAAGAGTATTGGGGCTCTACATCTTATGGGTGTGTATGTTTGTTTGTGAGTGGACTAGAGGAGACTGAGAGGATCCACATAGGTATGGTGTATGGGAGCATATGGGTATGTGTTGGGTTATGTTGAAAGGGTGCACAAGGATTTGAGTTTGTGTTTGTGTTTGTTTGGGTTTAAGATTACTCCATAGGACTAGAGGAGATTGAGAGTGTCTTATGAGTATTGATTATTGAATGAGGTTGATGATTTGATGTAAGTTTGTAATTCTCTACAACTAGTGGATCTTGTTTCTCATCCGTGGATGTAGGTCAGTTGGACTGAACCACGTTAAATTATTGTCTCTTGTGTGTTTGATTTATTATTTGATTTCGCTTCCGCTAGTGTGATTGGATTGGAGGCTTTTAGCCCAACAAATGGTATCAGAGCTGTGGTGTTCCCCAACAAGTGGTATCAGAGCTGAAGGTTTGAAACGTGAGAAGAGTTGAAGATTCAAGATATGGAAAGAGCTGAAGGTTCGAAACGTGAAAAGAGTCAAAAGTTCAAGACGTGGGAAGAGCTGAAGGTTCGAGATGTGGGAAGAACATGGTTTGAGACATGGGAAGAGGCAAGCTTAGAAGAGCGTGATTCAAAAAAAAGTTTGAGTTTGTGTTTTGAGGATTGAAGGATTAGTTTGTATGAAGCGTGAAGACACAAGAGAAGAGAAGATGATTGTGAGACTTTCATTGCAAGTGGAGCCAAGCATGTTTAGCATGAAGATAAATGATTGATGAAATTTGAGTCAAGGTGGAGATTGTTGGAAATATTGACTCAAATCCCATAAGAGATTTGTTTGAGATTTGTTAGAGATTTGTTTGAGATTTGTCAGATATTGCTTGATGGACAAGAAGACTTGCAAAAGAAGACTTCCAAAAGAAAGAAGATTTTTAATAGGTAAGTTTGACTTGCAAGAGAAGAATTCTAAAAGAAAAGAAATTCTTAATAGGCAAGTTTGACTTACAGGAGAAGAATTTTAAGAGGATAGGGATTCTTAATGGGTAAGTTTGTATGATTATAAATAGGTGAAATCTCTACAGGGTTAGGTATGAGAAAAAGATGTAAGAGAGTTGTAGGGTTTTGTGGGATAGACACCTTATAGGAGTATTGGGGCTCTACGTCTTATGAGTGTGTATGTTTGTTTGTGAGTGGACTAGAGGAGACTGTGAGGATCCACATAGGTATGGTGTATGAGAGCATATGGGTATGTATTTGGTTATGTTGAAAATGTGCACAAGGGTTTGAGTTTGTGTTTGTTTGGGTTTAAGATTACTCTATAGGACTAGAAGAGATTGAGAGTGTCTTATGAGTATTGATTGTTGAGTGAGGTTGATGATTTGATGTAAGTTTGTAATTCTCTACAACTAGTGGATCTTGTTTCTCATCCGTGGATGTAGGTCAGTTGGACTGAATCACGTTAAATTATTATCTTTTGTGTGTTTGATTTATTATTTGATTTCGCTTCCGTTGGTATGATTGGATTGGAGGCTTTTAGCCCAACAAATGGTATCAGAGCTGTGGTGTTCCCCAACAAGTGGTATCAGAGCTGAAGGTTTGGAACGTGAGAAGAGTTGAAGATTCAAGATATGAAAAGAGTTGAAGGTTCGAAACGTGAGAAGAGTCAAAAGTTCAAGACGTGGGAAGAGCTGAAGGTTCGAGATGTGGGAAGAACATGGTTTGAGACATGGGAAGAGGCAAGCTTAGAAGAGCGTGATTCAAAAAAAAAGTTTGAGTTTGTGTTTTGAGGATTGGAGGATTAGTTTGTATGAAGCGTGAAGACACAAGAGAAGAGAAGATGATTGTGAGACTTTCATTGTAGGTGGAGCCAAGCATGTCTAGCATGAAGATAGATGATTGATGGAATTTGAGTCAAGGTGGAGATTGTTAGGAATATTGACTCAAATCCCATAAGAGATTTGTTTGAGATTTGTCAGATATTGCTTGATGGACAAGAAGACTTGCAAAAGAAGAATTCCAAGAGAAAGGAGATTTTTAATAGGTAAGTTTGACTTGCAAGAGAAGAATTCTAAAAGAAAAGAGATTCTTAATAGGCAAGTTTGACTTACAGGAGAAGAATTCTAAGAGGAGAGGGATTCTTAATGGGCAAGTTTGTATGGTTATAAATAGGTGAAGTCTCTACAGGGTTAGGTATGAGAAAAAGATGTAAGAGAGTTGTAGGGTTTTATGGGATAGACACCCTATAAGAGTATTGGGACTCTACGTCTTATGGGTGTGTATGTTTGTTTGTGAGTGGACTATAGGAGACTGAGAGGATCCACATAGGTATGGTGTATGGGAGCATATGGGTATGTGTTTGGTTATGTTGAAAGGGTGCACAAGGGTTTGAGTTTGTGTTTGTTTGGATTTAAGATTACTCCATAGGACTAGAGGAGATTAGGAGTGTCTTATGAGTATTGATTGTTGAGTGAGGTTGATGATTTGATGTAAGTTTGTAATTCTCTACAACTAGTAGATCTTGTTTCTCATCCGTGGATGTAGGTCAGTTGGACTGAACCACGTTAAATTATTATCTCTTGTGTGTTTGATTTATTATTTGATTTTGCTTCCGTTAGTGTGATTGGATTGGAAGCTTTTAGCCCAACACCATGAACTTAGACTCTTCGCCAGGCCTAGCTAGATACCCGGTTTATGTATTTAGGCCACAGCGCACAGGTTTTTTTGATTAATTAATCATTATGATTTTGACATTCAATTTTTTTTTCTTTTTGCTAAATAATTTCGTCGTTCATTCAGTTGAAACAAAAGGTTTTCGTGGTTTGTCATCTTAATTTCTTTCTCAATCACGTGTTGAAACAAAGGTTTCCGTGGTTTATTATCTTTATTTCTCAATTACGTGTGAAAAGATCTGGACATCTGGTCCTTGGTCAAGTGGTAAATAGAAGAAATGTGAAAAACGTCTCCTGCTGGGTATAATTTACTTGGGTGAAAGCAGAGTATTTATGAAGATTCTCAGTTCTCAGTTCTCAGTTCTCAGTTCCCACCCTGTTGGCCAGGAGAACTGGTCCTGAATGATGGATCTTGAAACGTGACATTGCCAGGTATTTTTGGGTGTTGTTTTCGTTGGTATTGTAAAAAAGGTGTTCTCACATGGGATTGAGATACGAGTCATGCGACAGCCGATTTCACCATATTTTTTTCATGGAAGATGCTCTATTGTTTTGATTCTAAAAACATCTTGTATTGATACCCAATCTATGTCAGTTGAAGCCAGTGTTACATAGTAGTAATACTATTAATTAAGTTGTTGTATTATACCAGAATTAGTGTTTTTTTTTTTTTTTGGATAAGTAACATTTTCATTATATAAAAAGGAGGAACCTGCTACAGTGTTACAAGAAGCAGTAAACCTGCTAACAAGTTACAGATCAAACATATACCTACTTAGCTCCCATCTTGCACAATTCTTGATTTACATAATTCAAAACAATACTTTTAAGTCCTACTAAGTGTAACCTGACCACATCTTTTATCTGTCGCAGTATCATCTTCTCTGCTGTTTTCTCTGACTCGTAGATCTTCCTATTCTGTTCTGTCCATATCCAATCCCATGCCAATCGAAAGATTACAGAAATTAGCGCCTTCCGTTTGAGCCTAGTTATAGCCAATGCATTTCATTGCCCCATCCAACAACTTTTCTCTGCAGGTTGCATTGGCACAATACTTGCCTCTAAACCTCCTTTGAAAAATTGCAAAAGAAAAACATATGATCCCTGGTTTCTTTCTCCTGCCTACATAGTACACACACCTCATCTGTTTAGGACCCCCCTTTGCCATCCTATCCTTAGTTGGAAGCCTGTTTTGCATGGCCATCCAAGCAATTATAGCATGTTTTGGGATGTGTGGCTTGCGCCATACCAGCTTATGCCAATTGACTTTCATTTGCCTTGACCTTATTTCCTCCGATATACTGGCAGCTAAGTAAGTAGGGCTTTTGCTGTGCCATTCCACCCCATTCACTGTTTGTACCAAAAATCTGGATGCAGTACTTATCATATATAGCAGTTTTTTGAGGCTCCAACTGCAATTTTGTGTTATGCACTTCCCATATACTTTTCCCTTTAAGCACATAGCTTTTTATCCATGCTGTACTATATATAGTTATTATGATTTCTCAACATTAAAACTAGAAAAGCTAAAGAGATATTTGGTTTCCAGTATGTTTTTTCCCTAATGTTCTTTAAGTGACAACTGTTGGCATTACTATGAACTAATTCTATTACCGTTAAATCTTTTACAGGGTTCATGATCACTTACCTCTCTATGATATATTGAATCAATTTCAAGAGGGCCAGAGCCACATGGCGGTTGTTGTTAAGTGCAAGAGTTATACAATAAATGAGACTGCAGAAACTGCAAAAACCAAATCTAGCATTCCCGACGTAAAAATCCACTAAAATTCTAAAAAGAGAAAGACAGAGGTGAAACGTATAGTTTCATAGTTCATAGATCAGGAGAAACTTAATTCTTTTTTTTTTTTTATAAACTTTCACCCTTGCAATAGTAATAAAAATGATATATATGAGCTTGTTGTCACCCTATTTTCAGGCATTGGTCAGCATCAATATGATCGAAATGAGCAGCTTAGTATTCCTTCAAGCTCACCTTCGGCAAATTCTACGGTCATTGATATCCAAAGTCCAACTTTGAACATGGGGCTAGGCAGGAAATTACGTCCGATGATGAAGAAATGGGAACAGAGAACCCTCTCAAATGAAGATTTGGAATCATTTCCAAATTTGGATGAGGAAGTGCTGTTATCGATTAGAGTTGTAGGTATATATTCTAAAACCAACTCTTGGTTTTTGCAGGAGGAAATATTGGATGAAACTGATGAGTATGTTGCCGTTCACAACAAGTAGGCTTTTAATTTTAATTTCATTTGATCAACATTAACTTGTTATAATTAATTCCAGGATGTAATTTTCACACTCCTTTATCTCCCCTTTAGAATCACAATCAACATGCAACCTTCACGAAGATCGCCACTGAGATCTTCCGGAGCAGCAACAGCATCTCAACTTCACTGGAGAAGTCCTATGCCATCCCCAATTTCTTCGTGTCATGGAAGTACACTTTCTTCAAAGACTTATTATCCAGCACTTTGTTCACCAATTTCATCAAATGTTCAGTCACCACTCTCCAACCCAACTGCGTGTGCTTCCCCCGGGAAACCTGCACCATCCCCACATCAGGTATAAATATAACGTGGAACTTAATGAACTGCATCATGTCAATTTCAATATTGTCTGGCTTCATACATTCAACATTTTCTCATCAGTGTATACAGAGCTGATCCTTTTTTCTGTGAATTGATTCTAGCAGGTATCGAGAAAATCATATGAGAGAATGAAACATGGTTCGTAGGTTTCAATGATAACGAGTTTCTGAAAATAAACATGTAAATGTTTATTTATATATGGGAATTTCTCGTTCCATTGAATAATATGTGGGTCCAAAAAATGTATTTTGGAAACTACTTTATTTTATTGAGATTTAAATATCTTCATTATTGATGATGTAGCTTCAATTTTTTAAAGAAAGGTCAGTAGGTATCTATGTCATTAGATCAAATGTTAGGATTTCAAGATTAAATGATATCAACGATATCAGTTGATAAAGTACAGAATGAAAAAAGTATTCTTAATTTTTATTAATTTTTATATTATACTTATTTTTGTATTTATATTTAATGATTATTTTAAATTTATTTTTATTTTTAAAATTATTTAATAAATATAAATATTCCAAACCCATAACTTTTAAAAAATAAAAATAAAATTTATTTTCATTTTTTTACGTTTATCATGTATATTTATATAATTTTTTATAAATATGTATTAATTTATTTTAAAATAAAAATATATTAATTCTAATAAATTTAAAATAATAATTTATATTTTTAATAAAAATTTATTTGTTAAAAAATTAAAAAAAATATATAATACATATATAAAAAAATTACTATATTATCTTATCAATTTTTAAAAATTTAAAATTATATTTACTTGTGTTTTCATAATATAATATCCATTATAATAAAAAGTTAAATTTTTTATTAAGCTTAGTTGATTTGGATAAGATTGATAATTTGACATCTTTTGATTTAATTTGTAAGTGTTTGTGTAACGGATTTTAAGAGAAATCTTGAATCACACATCAAATATAAAATAAAAGTTACTGAAGTATATAAGAATTTATACCACCTCTGTTTTGTGAGATATCTTTTATAGGATAAAATCGTAAGGTCAAGAGGGTCGAAGTAGACAATACCTCACAAGAGTGTGAATCGTGAAGATTAGGCTAATCTGAAACGTCGGATGAGTAAATACTCAGGTTCTGGAGCTACACGGGTTGGAGTTTAAATCTCGATCCGTGACAAGTAGTATCAGAGCCAGCCTTAAAACCGTTCGATTGGATGAGAGAAAATATCACGGACCTAAGAAAGAATCTTGAATCTCACATCGAATATAAAAAGAAGGTTACTATGATATATAAGGATTCACATGATGCTGAATGAATGGATACTCAGATCTTGAAGCTGCGTGAATTGAAGCTTAAGTCTCGACTCGTGACAAGTGATATTAACACCTTTACCTTATAAGGTACTTTTTATAAGATAAAATTGTGAAATCAAAAAGATAAAAACAAATAATATCTCACAAAATATGAATTATGATAATTAAATTAATCTAAAATATCGAATGAATGGATATCTAAGAGTCTCGACTCGTAACACTTGTATCTTCAAAAATTTAAAGATGAAATTGCCACGGCAGAAGAAATTTACGAGGGGTTTCTGTCAATGTCAAATAGAACAAAACCCAACCAAATATTTTTCTGGAAATATCTTAATTAGATTATAAAACCAAAATATCTCATATTAGACGAGAAACCACTGCCATTCATTGTTTCCGGATAAGGTAAAAATGGCCATAAGAACATTAAACATGGCTTCTTGAGAAAAAAAAAGAAGCTCAATGAAGCAATGAAGACTCTTCTCTGTTTAGAAACACCGCAATTTTACCTTCCAAAGCCTTTTTTATGGGATCTAAGAACCCCAACAATCCTTCCCACAATCATCAAAAACCAGAGCCAAAACCAACCCTCATCAACATGGGAATTGCAGGCCAACGCCAAAGGATTTACGAGCACACCACCAGCTACCGTGAAAGAAAACGCTGCCAACAAAAACTCCAATAAGAACAATAACAATGACGGCGAGCAAATTCCCCAGGTAGTGTTTGAGAGGATGATAGCCAGAATTTTGGTCTCTGTAGGAGTTCCTTTGGCCACGGGTCTCGCGTTACTGCACTTATTTGGTATAGCGAAAGAGCAAAAGTTGTGGGATGTGCCACTATGGCTGCCATTCTTGACTACATTCATAACTTTTGGGGCATCAACGCTTGGGATTGCTTATGGGACTTTGTCCGCGAGTTGGGACCCGGAGAAGAAGGGTTCTTTTCTGGGATTGGAAGAAGCTCAACACAATTGGGTTGAAATGTGGAAAGAGGAAAACGACGAGCAGTGGTGAATGGTGATTGCCGCTGAGGCCAGCCGATTGGATCAACATCAGGCCGTTTTCCCTTTAGTTTGAGTAGTAATTACGACTCTTTAATGGAACAAAAAAGAAACAGTCCTCTACTCGTTTTCATTGTCGAATAATAAAGAAATACTTCAACTATATATATATTTTGGATAATTTTAATATTGAATGTTTCTTTTCTTTTTCAACATAAGAAGAACAAATATAGGAGATATTAGAATTTATATCGTAATCCTTTCAAGGATAATACTAACCCTTAATATAAGATTTGGGTTTAATGGTAATCGATATTCGTCTCAAGTACATTTTTTGAGAAGGTTTATTTTTGGTGCAAGAGGGAAGGTTTAACCTTCTCTATATTTGCCTTTTTAAGGGCATTGCTCTCTCTTTATAGTACATTACCCTGCGTTAACCAAATGGATTTGATAGTAGTTAACTTGAAAAATGAGGAACATAATTTAAATTTTAAATTCATAATTTTTTTCAAAGAAAGACATCGTAACGATTATATTTTAAAATCTAACAATTTCAAATTAAGAGTACATTAATTAAAACAAGTTTTATTCGTTAAACTTTTCGTTGTTGTAGATTTTGTTTGACAAGATTAATATTTTGAAGTAAATTATATATCTTTACCCTTAAATTCGAATTCGTCTCAATGTATGATGAAAAATCTTTCATTGTATTATACATGTTGTTATATTTACTAAACCTTTAAAAGTTTCATCATAAAATGCAATTATGCAACAAGAAAATGCCGTAAAAGTCCTCCCATCATGCAATCAAAAGCATCCTTCAATTAAAATTTGGGTAATAGAATAATAATAGTTCTTTTTCTAGAGGCCGCACAGTAATCTTGGTCTCCTCATGTATTTTACTAATTTCCTTTCTATTAATTAATAGTACAAACGATTGGATTGACAATAGTTAAATTGATTTATTGACAAGTTCACATCATATTATTTCCGACTTTGATCAGCCGCCTGCGACTATATGCGTCGACAAAGAATGATTCGAGATAAAGATGAAAATGTGGGTGGAGATAAAAGCTTCCATTTTCAATCTTTCATCACAAAACGTGTGGAATTTGCTTACTTTTATTCACATTTTCGACGTCTGAACCAATCAACACACGACTGACGAAATCCCATAAATTGACAGTTGGACCCAAAAAATAAAAACAAATGGACAGTTCGAGAATAGTAGCAGTGTTGTAGTAGTGCTAGATATATTTGTTAATTAACGCCTTAATTTGATTGGTCTCGTGGATTTGCTAATTAAATAATGCAATTGGCTTCTTGTTTTTTAAACAAAGAAAAAAAAGGCACATTTGAATATTATTTTATGTACGTTGATTAAAATTTTAAAAGTTGTAAATTAAAAAAATTAAATGCGTTATTTTCCTTTTTCATAAACCGATTTGATCAGTATCCTACCGAGTGGGAAAATTAAAAAAATTTCATTAGTTTAATTTCCTTTATATTCCATGTTACCTGAGGAGAAAGTGATGAACTAAATTTCCTTGTCAAAATGAGAGTGTTTAATTTAGATTAATCACATCATAAAATTTCAAAAAAGAAGAATATTTCCCTAAAAACACACTGACAGGAATTTAGGATCCATTACTTAAAAAAAATATGTAGACCAAAATATTTGGTAAATTCCAAATTAATCCACCGCAAAGTTCCAAGCTAATTTCAACCCACCACTGTGTACAAAAAAAAAAAAAAAAAACTAATCCAAAATTGCCATTCTCCTTTATTACTAGTACATAAATTACCAAAAATCTGTTACAACTCATGATCTCTCTTACACAAACCCTTTCAGAAATATTTCATCAAATGACACAAGACAATCTCTTTCAATTTTTCTTTGAAGATATTTTTCTTTCTACCTTTGAGACTGACAGATAGAAATTGCCAAATCAGATGAAACAATTGAGTCAGATGATACTTATGATTCAGATGAGGCAGTGTTACCTTAGATCTTCATGACAGAACCAACAGTTGAAGTTTCAGATGATAATCTAGAAGTTCACAACTCTGATGCAATGGACATTGAACAACACCCTCCTCCACAACAATCACAAGTTCGTTCTTTGACATCAAAGTTTTCAGTCTTTACCATTAATGATATTCCTTATTCAAAATGGCCCTCAAGGTTCCAAGAGTTCTTAGTTTGGGGATTAGTTGAATTAAACTCCAATCCCAATGTTACGATGAACACAATCTTAATCAGATTTGTTTCTAGTTTAGTTGAAACTCTAAAAAACTTTTGGGACAACATTGGTGAATACAGAAAACTCTAGTTTCTTCAATGCCCAACCATCACAGAAGCTATATCTAAATTTGTAGTAATCTTTTACGGCTAAACAACTTACAGATTAGAAAGATCAGAGAATAATTCTTCAAGCTAAAATGTTGTTCCCTCAATCCAAAAGACCTTGATAGACACTATCAGCAATTCTCTCAGTATTTTTACATACTTGGTGGATTTGATGATGTCAACCTGAAGCAAGCTTTTTTTAACTCTGTTTCAAAAAAACTTGCACAGCAAATAAGGACACAACCGAATCTCAAATCTTTTGATATTAGAACTATGAATCTTGGAGATATTTACAAGATGATGTTGAAAGCTTTTGACAAGATTTGCAAAGAGCACAAATACATCAAAACCTCGGTGAACAACTCTAAGAAGCTAGAGAAACCATGCTCTTACTCCTCTTCAGGACTCCAGATCAAATGTTTTTTCAAAGACTCCACATGTCTTTACAATCACAAGAAAATAAGCACTTCAGAAAGTTCAGACTTTTCAGAAACTCACATTTTGCAAATCTAAAAAACTTTTTAGAAAAGTAGACAAGTCTAGAAGAATTCACAGATTCAAGTTTGCAAGAAAGAAGAAAAGATCCAAAGAACAAAAGTTCAAAATGTTTTCTTTATGAAAAATCAAGATATTTTGCAAAGAATTGCCAAAAGTCAAATAAAAGATCAGTCAAAATAATACAAGATATTGCTAATATCTCTGGTATCAATCACTCTTATGATGACCTATAATCAATCTTCTTCCTTAATGATTAGTAAATGAAAGATCCATGTTTATGATAAAGTAATTTGATGAAGAATCAGATTACTTAGATTTTTCAGATGAATTTACAGATAATCAATGCGATGAGTACATGTCAGTCTAAGAACTCCAAAAAATTTAAACCTTGCAACCTCCAAAATTACTTTTAGCTCCAGTTCAAATCTTCACTCATAAACATTTTTCTCCCATAACAGTAACAACTCTCTTTGACATTGGTGCAGCTCAAACCATAGCAAATCCCATTGTTTTACCCAAAAACCTTTAGACAAAATAGAAAACCTTCTTCAAGATCGTTGATTAGAATGTATTATTTACAGACTTTATCAGTAACCCTCTTATCATTCAAATTTTCTCAGGTTGTCAAATACCTCAAAAGATTTTAGGATCTTCACTTTCCCAAAAAGACCTTGTTATTAGTTTTGATGTCATAACCAGTATATTAGGCTTAAGACTTAGTGAAAAATGTATAAAGTTTGAAAGTTATTTCAGACTTTGGAAAAACCTTCCCAACTTCTCTACCCTTACTGTCCAACAAGATGTTTTCTAAAAATTTAGATAGAAGTTCATTCACTTCTTTTGTGCAGAAAATCATTCAGAATTCCTCTAGAAATGTGACCAACCTCTTTGAAAAAATTTGAATTTTTCATTACATTTCCTTTCAAAAAAAATAAAAATGCCAATCTCACAAAAGCAAGTCATTCAGGCATGAACCTAGATCATTTCAAATCGGTAACCTAAGAATGTTTTCTTCTCTAAGCTCAAGGATTAATTGAACCAACCTTTTCTTCATGGGTATGTGAAGCATTTTATGTCAACAAACGTTCAGAACAAATTTGTGAAAAATTAAGATTGGTGATTAATTACAAGTCTCTTAATATTTTTCTTACAGATGATAAGTTTCCTCTTTTAGATAGAAAAACTTTGTTTACAAATTTGACAATGTAAAAGTCTTCTCCAAGTTTAACCTAAAACTAAGATTTTGACAATTAGGTATACATACACACGATAGATACAAAATGATATTTTGCATTTTTCAACATCATTTTCAATGGACAGTTATGCCTTTTGAATTAAAAGTTGCTCTTTCACTATTTCAGAAAGCAATGACGAGAATATTTACTCTCATTCTTGATAATGCCTTGATTTACATTGATGATATCTTATTATTCTTTTCAGATGTCACATCTCATACACAGTTATTAAATAAGTTCTAACAGGTTGTTCAACAGTATAAGAAATGACATATGGAAGAGAACAATAAGATATCATCAATGTAAATTAAGGCATTATCAGAATGGGAGTAAATATCCTTGTCATTACTTTTTGAAATAGTGAAGGAGTAATTTTTAATCCAAAAGGCATAATTATCCACTGAAAATGATGTTGAAGAATGCAAAATGCCATTTTGTATCTATCCTATGGATGTAAACCTAATTGTCAAATCTTGCTTTTAGGTTAAACTTGGAGAAGACTTTTGCATTTGTCAAATTTTCAAACAAAGCTTTTTCGTTTGAAAAGAAAACTTATCATCTACAAGGAAAATGTTAAGAAGCTTGTAATTAATCACCAATCTTAATTTTTTACGAACTTGTTTTGAACGTTTGTTGACATAAAACACTTCACATACCCATGGAGAAAATGTTGGTTCAATTAATCTTTAAGCCTGGAAGAATGGAACATTCTTGGATTACCAATTTGAAATTATCTGGGTACATGCCTAAATGACTTACTTTTGTGAGATTGATATTTTCAACTTTTTTTAAAGGGAAGGGTAATGAAAAATTCAAGATTTTTTCAAAAAGGGTGGTCAAATTTTTGGAAGAATTCTAAATGATTTTTTTGCATAGAAGAAGTGAATGAACTTCTGTCTAAATTTTTAAAAAATATTTGGTTGGAAGGTGAGGGTAAAGAGGTTGGGAAAGTTTTTCCAATGTCTGAAATAACTTTCAAACTTTATACCTTTTTCACTAAGTCTTAAGCCAAGTATACTGGTTATGACATCAAAACCAATAACAAGGTCTTTTTGGAGAAATAGAGAGCCTAAAATCTTTTGAGTTATTTAATAACTTGAAAAA